AGAAAACGTTCATTAAATGATAAAATGTAACATGTTATTGTCTGTAACCTGAAACACAAACATAAAGAAGTCAGCAAGTGAATTGTGTTTTTCGCCCTACCACGACGTGTATGTTTTTTTTCAACACTTTCAATATGTTTGTTTGCGTTAAATGTAACTAACCATAACCACGGACCATATACCGGTATATGGTCTCTGTTCTACCTTAAAGCCGGTGTGAACAGTATGTCAGCTATATGATGGCGTATCAGCTTACTGTAGGAAGAAAATCACTTTGGTTAAACCAAAATCAAACCGAGGATCATATGGTGAGATCGAATCTGAAACTCGAATCTCCGGATCCTGCCACGACTCACTCTGCCTGGCGAATTCCGGCATCTTGGAAGCCCATGCTCCCTAACCATAAAGAAAATGTATTCCATTCACAGATTGTATAAAAAGAGCTAACAGGAGGCGCCTGTCTCCACATAGCTCCCAACTCATCAATCTGCACAATCTGGTGACGGCCAGATCAAGGCGCGTGCTAGGCATCTGATAACTACTGTTCATTAATGGTCAGTGCTTTTGAATTATTTCTTTGTATTAAATGGGTTGCTAAACTCTACTGGGCAGTATTTGCCGAAATAAACAGCTTTCCTGTTTTGCATAAGGGATTAGTGTTTCACCATACAGAGGTGCTGTTGAAAGGGCAGGAAAAGCAATTGCTTTAACAGCAATGTAATTACACACCACGTGACCTGTACACAATATCAGTCCCGCAGTAAATCTTATCAGCGGATATGAATGGAAGATATCCATACCTTCCTTTACATCATTGTTTTATGTTGATCGTAGCCTGAACGAGCCGCTAATTTGATAGCGCAATTAGATGAGGGGACACTGATAGCGTTAGTGCCATCAGTTTCCAACACCACCGTAATTAGACAAATTTATGGCGACGACCATGACAGATCGTGTGTTTTATAGGCCTGCAACGGCTGCAGAAAATAGGCTATGCGTTTTCTGGTTTTTATTTCAGCGCAGACACTGGTGTGTGGCGGGTATCGTGATGTAGATTGTTTTGTTGTGTCATGGATTTAAACAAGATAGATATCAGCCAAGTTGAAATTGATTACGATATGTGTAAAGGGCACTATTAAACACGTGGTTTGTAGATATTTCCTTAAATAATATTTGTTCAGCAATATTTGTTGGTGCCTCTCAACTGGACTTTCAATATCCACTTTGCTGCTGTTGAATGTGAGTGATTTCATAAACTCAGTATCATCCATTTGTACATATTTATTGTTCTGGCCTTCTAGTGAGTCTGATTATTTACACCCGTCTAGTCTACTGGATGATCCGTTGTCTGTGTATTGTTTCAATGTACGTCCTTCTGGCCAATCCACCCTGGATAAAAAAATATCCAAAATATTCCAGATACGCAAGTCTTAAGTTCCTGGAAGAGATTCCCCGGACTGGTAGTCTGACGCACACTTCAATAAGTTCTGTAAAGTGAAGGTTGTGCGGGAACTGCAATCGCGCGGTAGTGAGTCTGCCTTGAGCTAACTGTAACACTACACAGAGATGTAGGGTACTAAATGTATTTGAGGGTAAAATGAATGTCAAATTTAAGATTGATTTGAAATATAATGCCGGTGACATCACACAACAGAATAGTTGCGGCAACATTAAAAAACTAAGCAGTGACTTTGTTTGGTCTCTTGGGATGAACATTGAGTTTTATCATATAACATTAGTCCTTTCGATATCCAGGGAGTTAATGACAATTTAACATTGATATCTCTTAAGATATTTTCATTTCATGTTAGTATAACTACACCCGTGGGAATTCGAACCAGGATCTCTGGCGTGCCGGATGGGATCTTTAACCTGAAGGCTACCAACCGCCCGGGAACGTGGTGACTTCACCCGCAATGATCACCGTGCTGGTTGGAAAACATTGGGAAGCTATGGTTGGCTGGCTCAACCGATTCGATCTTATGACGTCACCATGACTTGAAATTAATGTTTACTGGTTTCTATTAAAATAGACGTGTTTGGACGGTGTCTTCAAAGGCGGGGCCCCATTCAACCTCTCTGTTCCTATCAGGTCATATGTTGCCAGGTCAATGTGACCTATGTCATAAATCTAGTAGTCTGATAGACACGATAGCGGCCAGTGGTCTGGTTTGTGTCAGTGGCCAGCTGATAAGTTGAACGTGATGGCACGGACAGAGCCAGACATAACTCAATGTCAGTGGTGCGAAACATACTAGACGGTGTGTATACCAACAGATACGGTCACAAGTTGATTAAGTTGTTGTAAGGAAGTGAGTAAATATATAACCCAGCCCTTACTGTAATGCTATTGCCCTGAATGAAGCAAGTCTAGATTTTCCCAGGTTGCATAAATAATGAAATTGCTAATTTCAAATATAATATCAGACACCAAACGTTAGTCTACACTATTCCCGTGCCTTATGGAATAGGATTGGATCAGTCTCACCTACAATGATATTATGATAAGAAAAGACAACTTATATAGTTTAAATATCTTTATTGGACATTCATAACAGATATATATGTATAATTCGTCCATTTCTTACAACCCTTACATTTCACACAAGGCTCCATCACATATAATTATACACCCTAGGATACAGATTTTATGACAATATGTATTACGCACATCAATTTATCAGTTACATAATTCCACTTTTCCTCCTAACTTTATAACATGTTCAACTGCATCTAAATACTGCATGTGCGTTCTCTGTACTTGGTCCGGCTTTCGTCTTCCCTGGTGAAAGGGTCTGTATAGCACCTTCGCTCCCTGTGCTCAAGGAAATGAACCTATTCCCGTTTGGAGGTTATATTCCGGGCTAAATGGTTGAGATATCTGTTGTAGTTAATCAAAGAAGCCACAACACTTTTATTGCTGGATGTCAGGTCAACTACAACTACACATACTCATGGTGCAGCAAGCTGGGGGACATCCGGGAGGCGACAGTCAGCAACCAGTCTAGTCGCTGTTTCGCTACATTGAACCCTCAGGCTTTGTACGGTGTTACCTTACAGGTATGTACCTCGCAACTCTCACCTCATACACGGTTTCGGTGGCCAACCGGCCATATCTAATTTGGGTTGAAAGTACTGTGATTATTGAAGTACATGTGTATACTTATTTAACTTGGGGAATATATAAAACGTATAAACTCCCTGTTAAAACCAATATCCCACCAAAATGCCTATGATTGTATTTTTGGCAAAGGTCTGTCCACCCTGGTTGTTTCTTGATAGTGTTGACTGATCTTATCGGTATTAAGATTTTAGGAATTTTGCGTTAGGGCGGTGACTTTGATAATAAGTAAGGAGAATAAGGTATAAAACATCTGACCTAAAATATGAATGCTATAGCTAATACAAGCGTGGCTGTGAGGCGAGGTACGGCGGTTGTTGGCGGGGTTAGCGTGTTTCGCGGTGCTGTGATGAAGGGTGACTTTTGTTATAAACGGGAATTTGTGAATGAAATTTACAATACGTCCATTAATGGCTTTAGTTTTGAGCTTTTGTTTACAGTCATTTGGCCAAAGAATGTCGGAAAATTGAATAAAGTCAATGAATATTATTGTTTTAGGCGTGACGTGTTTATATGTTGTTCCAACAGTACAGATGGTCTGAGGTTGGCCTGCTCTGGATGAAGCCACTCTGTCGTCTAACTAATTAGGTTATATTAAGATATTTGGAATTTGAGCCTATTATTAATACTAGTTTCCATGAAAATATAGGAAGTTAATGAGATGGAAATATATAATTCAGGCTCAGTGTTTCTTTCCTGGTTTAAGAATTGGTACCATCATTGCTGATTTGCAGTTTGTTGGGATTGTGTCACAGATGCTACCTGAAGTTGCCTAATCCTGTGGCTGAATCTGCGTTCTTTCTGTTAGTAGCTGTTTGAAGTTCACGGACGTAGGGTAGAGGAGTGTATGCTAGGTTTTGCGAGCACTAGAGATAATAGTTTGTAGACTAAATTTAGTTGAATAGTTGATGGTGCTACTTGTGGCCGAAAAGTAGGCAACAATAAGTGTGTTTATTATATTTCTTACTTGTGTTTTAAGTGGGGACGCTGCATATACTGTACACTTCCTGTTGCAGGCATAAAGTTATTAGCTGTACGTCATCTACCTTTTCATTATGTTGACTAAAGTGAGTTAAAGTGGAGAAAAAAATATACCCATAGACAGCTAATTCTTAAATCATGAAAGTAATGAAAAATTCAAACCTAACATTTTAACTTTAGAAAGATGTTTAAATTAGAAACACTATCCAAGCGAAGCCACAGTGTCGGCTACCGGGGTGGAGGCCAACACAGCCATATACTGCAGCTGCCGCATCCTTCCTCTCAGCACGCGAATACCCAAATACATTTTCTTTGTTTAGAATTGAAAACAGAATGTGATTATCTGAGATGTACAAAATGATCAACTTAAACTCAGTTCTTCTTCTTTGTTCTTTGATCTTTATCATGTTCATCATCTTGCTTACTTTCATCTTTCCCGTCACCAGTGAAGGTTTCTTGTTCTGGTAACGACGGCACCATTATCAAAACATTGATCAAAATGGTAGAATTTGTCTGTCATCAACTCAGCCCTGCCCATACCAAACCTTTCAGTTCAACATTTATTTACCATCAGTCCATCGTGACTCTCCCCCACCCGATCGCCACCTCCCCAAACCAATATTCTGACATTTATGACAAAAATTCAGCTCTCCAATCATCCCGTTCATCCTCAATTACCCGAATAAAGCTGACAGCTTGCAATTTCCGTGATCACTCTGACCAACACGCGCTGTCACAGAGGAAATCCGTGACACGTTGGGCCAGTTCAGGGAGGATCTTAATTCGTCAAATTGTCTCCCAAGCTCCCTAGCCCGGGACAGAGTGCTGGGGTCATTTTTCAGTAATACGAAGTCAATCTGACCGGACCAGCAAACGTGATTTTGCATGCTCAGCAGAAATGATAATAAAGAACGAGATAGCCATTCATTTCCATGGGGACAATATCATAATATTTATCACCGGTTTGTTATCGAAGGTCAACACCACCTACTCCTCCCCCACACCTCCATTGTCACACCCATCCAAACACCACCAACTCCACCCCCACACCTCCATTGTCACACCCATCCCAACGACACCAACACCACCTCCACACCTCCATTGTCACACCCATCCCAACACCACCACCCCCATCCCCACACCTCCATTGCCACATCCACCTCAACACCACCTCCTCCATCCCCACACCCCCATTGTCACATCCACCGCAACACCACCTCCTCTCCCCCCACACCCCCATTGTCACACCCATCCCAACACCACCACCCCCATCCCCACACCTCCATTGTCACATCCACCCCAACACCACCTCCTCTCCCCCCACACCCCCATTGTCACATCCACCGCAACACCACCTCCTCTCCCCCCACACCCCCATTGTCACACCCATCCCAACACCACCACCCCCATCCCCACACCTCCATTGTCACATCCACCCCAACACCACCTCCTCCATCCCCACACCCCCATTGTCACATCCACCGCAACACCACCTCCTCTCCCCCCACACCCCCATTGTCACACCCATCCCAACACCACCACCCCCATCCCCACACCTCCATTGTCACATCCACCCCAACACCACCTCCTCTCCCCCCACACCCCCATTGTCACATCCACCGCAACACCACCTCCTCTCCCCCCACACCCCCATTGTCACATCCACCCCAACACCACCTCCTCTCCCCCCACACCCCCATTGTCACATCCACCGCAACACCACCACCTCCATCCCCACACCTCAATTGCCACATCCACCGCCACCTCCATCCTAACATCCACACTACCGCCACCTCCATTCTAACATCCACACTAACGCCACCTCCATCCTAACATCCACACTACCGCCACCTCCATTCTAACATCCACACTAACGCCACCTCCATCCTAACATCACCACTACCGCCACCTCCATCCTAACATCCACACCACCGCCACCTCCATCCTAACATCCACACTACCGCCACATCCATCCTAACATTCACACTACCGCCACCTCCATCCTAACATTCACACTAACGCCACCTCCATCCTAACATCCACACTACCGCCACCTCCATCCTAACATTCACACTACCGCCACCTCCATCCTAACATCCACACTAACGCGACCTCCATCCTAACATCCACACTACCGCCACCTCCATCCTAACATCCACACTACCGCCACCTCCATCCTAACATTCACACTACCGCCACCTCCATCCTAACATCCACACTACCGCCACCTCCATCCTAACATCCACACTACCGCCACCTCCATCCTAACATCCACACTAACGCCACCTCCATCCTAACATCCACACTACCGCCACCTCCATCCTAACATCCACACTACCGCCACCTCCATCCTAACATTCACACTACCGCCACCTCCATCCTAACATCCACACTACCGCCACCTCCATCCTAACATCCACACTAACGCCACCTCCATCCTAACATCCACACTAACGCCACCTCCATCCTAACATCCACACTAACGCTACCTCCATCCTAACATCCACACTACCGCCACCTCCATCCTAACATCACCACTACCGCCACCTCCATCCTAACATCCACACTACCGCCACCTCCATCCTAACATCCACACTAACGCTACCTCCATCCTAACATCCACACTACCGCCACCTCCATCCTAACATCCACACTACCGCCACCTCCATCCTAACATTCACACTACCGCCACCTCCATCCCAACATCCACACCACCGCCACCTCCATCCTAACATCCACACTAACGCCACCTCCATCCTAACATCCACACTACCGCCACCTCCATCCTAACATCCACACCACCGCCACCTCTATCCTATCCCGGCGGCCGGGCGATGAGTTCGGATGGGGTCAATCGGTTATGTAATTGTGTGACACGGTCTGCCTTCACGTCGTGCCTCACGATGGGGGGACGTCTCGTCTCGTCCTTTTGATCCTAATGGTAGTCTTTGTTCCCCCTTGATCGACTACCCCCTCCGTATCCAATTGATTCCTCCTTTCAGAGGAAATGAAACCTTCCTTAGCTACAGCTACGTTCTTTGTCAAATAGAATTTAGTACATAGGTTTAAATTTGTGAAGCATCTTGGCTTCAGTGTTGTTCATTTTCCTCAGTTAATTTCAAAGGTTTCTGAAGCATCTAGTCTTCAGAGTTTGTTAAGTGGTCCCTTTTTCTCAGTTAATTTGAAATACATGTTACGATGTTTGTTATTTATTTATGTTACCGTTTAGGCTGTATGCTATTTATTACCATCATTTAAACTATTACTGTACGGCTTCGGCATTCTGGACTTCTTTCACCTGCCATGTTCACCCACCAACTTGGCTACATGTTAATTTCCGATACATTTTTATAAACAACAATGCAAACTAAATAGAATCCCTCCTTCCAGATTCCATCTTAGCGGCACGAGGATCACGTCGGAGTCATGGCAACGAAAGCAATGTTCACGTGACAGTATACACGATCAGTTTGCTGTGACCTTGTTGGCGGTCACTGACCTCGAACCCATTGATCTGCCGTGGTATTGCATCATACGCCCACATGACTTACCGGGCTCAATACCGTTCCATAAGAGACAGTCGCACACATACATACACAGAAACAGACACAGACACACGCACAGACACAGACACATACACACTCACGCACATACACATACACACAGACACACGAACAAGCACACGAACAGACACAAACACACTGGGAGTACAGATCTTTGATCAGGCGTATTAACTATAAAGTTGATTGCCTTGTCAATGGAGTTGATGCATTACAAACTTTGCATTACATTGTACGACAGGCTGACATTGACACTGCTGGTCATACCGTATCGAGTATTTTTGTATAATATCGCCGTGCATGTACGTACATATACAAGCACTGAGAAGTTGGACATTAGTTTCCATAGTATAAATAGCTGACCTCTCCACTGCTCGGCTTTTCCTTGAATTGTATACAGACCCCTGTATCCTACATAGCTGACTTCTCCGTTGCTCTGTTTTTCCTTCAGTTGTATGCAGACCCCTGTATCCTACATAGCTGACTTCTCCACTGCTCTGTTTTTCCTTCAGTTGTATGCAGACCCCTGTATCCTACATAGCTGACTTCTCCACTGCTCTGTTTTTCCTTGAGTTGTATACAGACCCCTGTATCCTACATAGCTGACTTCTCCGATGCTCTGTTTTTCCTTGAGTTGTTTACAGACCCCTGTATCCTACATAGCTGACTTCTCCGTTGCTCTGTTTTTCCTTGAGTTGTTTACAGACCCCTGTATCCTACATAGCTGACTTCTCCGTTGCTCTGTTTTTCCTTCAGTTGTATGCAGACCCCTGTATCCTACATAGCTGACTTCTCCGTTGCTCTGTTTTTCCTTCAGTTGTATGCAGACCCCTGTATCCTACATAGCTGACCTCTCCACTGCTCTGTTTTTCCTTCAGTTGGATGCAGACCCCTGTATCCTACATAGCTGACTTCTCCACTGCTCTGTTTTTCCTTCAGTTGTATACAGACCCCTGTATCCTACATAGCTGACTTCTCCGTTGCTCTGTTTTTCCTTGAGTTGTTTACAGACCCCTGTATCCTACATAGCTGACTTCTCCGTTGCTCTGTTTTTCCTTCAGTTGTATGCAGACCCCTGTATCCTACATAGCTGACTTCTCCACTGCTCTGTTTTTCCTTGAGTTGTATAGAGACCCCTGTATCCTACATAGCTGACTTCTCCGTTGCTCTGTTTTTCCTTCAGTTGTATGCAGACCCCTGTATCCTACATAGCTGACTTCTCCACTGCTCTGTTTTTCCTTGAGTTGTATACAGACCCCTGTATTCTACATAGCTGACCTCTCCGTTGCTCTGTTTTTCCTTGAGTTGTTAACAGACCTCTGTATCCTACATAGCTGACTTCTCCGTTGCTCTGTTTTTCCTTCAGTTGTATGCAGACCCCTGTATCCCACATAGCTGACTTCTCCACTGCTCTGTTTTTCCTTGAGTTGTATACAGACCCCTGTATTCTACATAGCTGACTTCTCCGTTGTTCTGTTTTTCCTTGAGTTGTATACAGACCCCTGTATTTTACATAGCTGACTTCTCCGATGCTCTTTTTTTTCCTTGAGTTGTATACAGACCACTGTATCCTACATAGCTGACTTCTCCGTTGTTCTGTTTTTCCTTGAGTTGTATACAGACCCCTGTATCCTACAAAGCTGACTTCTCCGTTGCTCTGTTTTTCCTTGAGTTGTATACAGATCCTTGTGTCCTACATAGCTGACTTCTCCGATGCTCTGTTTTTCCTTAAGTTGTATACAGACCCCTGTATCCTACATAGCTGACCTCTCCGTTGCTGTTTTTCCTTGAGTTTTATACAGACCTCTGTATCCTACATAGCTGACTTCTCCACTGCTCTGTTTTTCCTTGAGTTGTATACAGACCTCTGTATCCTACATAGCTGACTTCTCCGTTGCTCTGTTTTTCCTTGAGTTGTATACAGACCCCTGTATCCTACATAGCTGACTTCTCCACTGCTCTGTTTTTCCTTGAGTTGTATACAGACCTCTGTATCCTACATAGCTGACTTCTCCACTGCTCTGTTTTTCCTTGAGTTGTATACAGACCCCTGTATCCTACATAGCTGACCTCTCCATTGCTCTGTTTTTCCTTGAGTTGTATACAGATCCCTGTATCCTACATAGCTGAACATACATGCAGGTACCGCCATGTCCGTTAAAAGATGTTGTCATAACAGTACTGCAGAGCTGTGTATTTGCGTAAAATACGCAAATTATAGCACAATTACCCATTAGGTTTGAGTTATTGCGTACAAAATGCAACTTTCTAAAACCCAATAGTGTAACAACACCGCGTGATACCTTATGTTGCCTTTTCATCTTGCGTGCATGTACTTCTTTACAGATCTGTGTTTACTGCTCAAGTTGAGATGCATCTCACATATATGAACTCTACTGCAGTGACAAATGCATAACAGAGGCGCTTTCGCATATTTATGACTAGACATGCATATCGCTGTTGTGAGTTTGCGTGACATGTAACACACTTGGGGCAATGAAGCATCATTCAAGTAGAAATATTTTAAAAAGATGTCTACTCATTGGTGTAAAATACCCAGCATAATTGGCCCAGGGGAATAAAATATATTGACTAACAAAAGAAAACTAACAATACCCAATGTGAATGATGACTTGTGAGTAAATACTCATAGATGGCTCAACCGCAATTGTACATGAAGCAGCAGAAAGATCGTAATAATAATATTTCCGCATTATTTGTGCATTAAGATGCAGAAGTATTGAGAACTTAATCTCCATATGTACGTGCATCAATTTAGAAAATATAACACGTGCGAGTTGTGACAGAGACAGACTGGGTGACATTCAGAGGTATTGCACAATCGTGTTATTGACTGTCATAACGCATCTTCACCTGATACACTTGCGTTAGGCATGACGTCAACACATCACAGCACAAGGCGAGGAAAGTAGCTCAGTACAATCTTACACACATTGCCAATAGTGTGTGGTATAGCAATTTAAAATGTACGTTGATCATAAATTCGTTTAAATCACTTGACATTAACCATGAAATTTTCAACTGAATCGCCTTTAAAAACTCTTGATAACGCTAATGGATACCACTAGGAGTATATCATAAATGGTCATCAAGCTAATAAATCCACATGATTCTAGCCTGTTGAAATCAACGAAACTATATCTGCATCATGAATGTACATCAATTGTGGAATTTCCATTTATATCGTTAAATTTCTTTTAATGAAAATGGCTAAACCTTTTGA